TCAGGGGCCGGGGGGGGGGGGGAATCAGAGCAAACACACGTGGCACAGAGACACCTGCCCGTCCCCGTCCCCGTCCCCGTCCCCGTCCCCGTCCCAGGGCCCTGCCTACCTGCGAGGCGCTGCCCGCAGCCGCAGGCCCCGGACCACCCCGCCCCCAGGTACTCCAAACGCCCGCAACCGACTTCCGGCTGGTTCGGAACAGACCACCGCGCTCCGCCTGCGGGGGGGATGGAATGGAGCAACCCGGAAGGGAGCGCGGCGCCCGCCTGCCATTGGCTGGGCACAGAGCGCGCGCCCTCCCCACCCCCGCCCTTCGGAGACTGCGGCCGCTCGGACGTGCCATTGTCTAGGGGGGTTTAACCCTTTCCCTGGCGGCGGGGAGCAGGGGCACGTCTCCTCCGTGACGTGGAAGCTGGGCTCGTGTACTGAGTAAGGGCTTGTTCCCTGGGAACCGTGGGCGGCTCCTGGAGCTCTTAAGCCCTGGGTTGTCCACACGGTAACACCCTGGAGCCTCGTTATGCGGCTTAAAGTTACGCCATTCCCAGCAGGATACTTTCCAGCACAACCCAGCTCCTGGCCCTTTAAGGGGTGGCTCAAGTCGAAGTCCTCCAGTATCCCAGGATCTCTTGCACTGCCCCCAGTAGAGCAGGGCTAGCAGCCTGTCTTGGCTCACCTGCCCGCTAGTGGGAACTGGCAGCTGTGGCTCCTAGCCCTGCCCCTGCTCACCGGCGCAGCGTTTCGCAGCCCGTAGGTTGTGACCCAGGAGTGGGTCCCAAGAATACACGAAAGGGTCAGGGACAAACTTTAAAAATGGATTCTCCCACTCCCCAGCTTAAGTCCTTCCTCTGCCCCATCACGATCAGGCTCACCATTTCTCAGGAGCGACCACCGTTATTTTCCTCAAGATTTATTCAAACAGTCCATGTGCTGAGTTTCATAGTTTCTAGGGTCGGAAGGGACCTGAGATCATCGAGTCCGACCCCCTGCCATGGCAGGAAAGAGTACAGGGGTCAAACGACCCCAGCAAGGTGTTCATCTAACCTCTTAAAAACCCCCAGGGTAGGAGCCTGCACTATTAAGATTGTGGGTTTTTTTACATCTTCAGAAGACCTCATTGCAGGATCAGGTTCCATTGCATTCTGCTCGTCCGGCCTCCCGCGCTTTCCACGGGTTAGGAAGTTGTTCTTTGTCGCTTCCTGTCTGATTTTGATCCCACCCGTTGTTGTAAAAGATCCGCCACGTTTCCCCCCGAGGCTGCTACATTTAGCAGTAGGGAAAGCCATTTCCCTGTTTTGCCGCGGGTTTGAAATCTCCCAAGGTAAAAGGGTCCCTGGAACATCCTGCCCTCGTACAGAGAAGTGCATCTTAAACACCCATTTCAAACCACCCCTATGGCTTCCAGTACCTCCTAAGTACAAGGTAAGGTTACCGCTCAGCCATGGTTGGTCCCGGGAGTGGCGGACTAAGAGAGTTTTCACCTTTTTTAATTATCCGTGAGTAGCAAGGTCAGTCTCAAAAACAGGGGTAGTAAGATTTTACAGACTCTGAGGGCGGTTGGGATGCTTCAGCCCAGCTCCTAGGTAATTGATTCCTCAACCCACAAAGCCACCAGTACAGGGGCACCAGTTGGCACCTTTCCTGGTTAGCTCAGCAGACAAACCAAAGACTGAATGCTTCAGGGAGAATGAACTTTCCTGTCACTCCTTGATGCATTGTGGTTTTTTGTCATTTCCCATCCAGCCGATCAGCAGATAAACAGAGACCTTCAGTCTCCAGGGTGGTACCTTTCAAACACACATGCACACACACAAGAATAGGACCACAAGCAGTTACGGGGTAAAGGATCTTTACTCATGTAAAAACCATCACCCTAAAAGATTGTGTTAAGTCTCCTTCAGTGCAGTCCCAGATCCTCAGACCTCTTCCCAGATCCTCCAAACAAGCCCTCATTTTTTCTTCCAGAATTTCTTGTACTGATCCATATTAATGTCATACTTGAGCAGTTTCTCCTGGTTGATTTGGTGCTTGCTGTGACCACGTCTCCTTAACCGGGCTCTTCTTTCAGCATCAGGAAGAGTGCTGAGGTCTACAGGCAGCTGAGAAGGAAAGAGGGGAGAGGAGTAGAAAAAAAAATTAATCAACAATAGAACAAAGAGAAGCAGGTCGATCTAGAACAGAGCTCCAAGGACTCTGTCATGTCCAAAAGGAGAAAGGCGAGATGTCATCATCAAGGTTTTGCTCCAAAAAAAAAAAGATGGCCACGCAGTTGGGCCGCTGGCCCCAGGCAGAGTGCACAGTTTCCAGGAGGACTGCTCCTGCTGCCTGGAAGCTGTCACCTCCCTCTGCTCTCACTGCAGTGGAGCTGGTGGAAGGCAGCTGGGAGCTAAAGCCCTGCATGCTGGGGCAGGAGCTGCCTGGTTGCAGCTTCTCCCCTGCTGGGAACAATACAGCAGGGAGAGGTGTTGCCACTGGAGGTGAGGGGAGCTGCCACATTGGAAGAAGCCCTGCCAGTAAGCTGTGCATGCTGGCCAGGGCCAGGATGGTGGGCGTGGGTAGGAGCACAGTGCGGGCTGCCTGCGTAGGCTCAGCTGCATGCAGAGTTGGAGGGTAGTAGCTATGGACTGCACCACCCGGGCAAGCTCTGCTGCATGCACCCCTTCCAGCTCCTAGGACCTAGCACCCATGCAGCTTCCCCCCACCCCGTACATGCCCCCCCCAGCAGATCATCCATCTCACTCCCTGCCCATAGCCCCATCCCACATAGGGAGTTTTGGTGAGTTGTTGTGTGGGGGAGGGGAGGAGGGTCTGATGACCCAACCTGCGACAGCTCATCAAAAACTCTCTGTGTGGCCCATGGACCCAAGTAATTGCCCACCCCTGCATTAGTGAAAGCTTCTATCTATCCAGTTAGTTGCTGTTTGGGCAACAGGTTTTGTAGCTCGTAGGGGCTGAAATGATTTGCACTGTGAAAGCTAAAATATCAACAAATACACTGAAAGAGTCTTGGGATTCTTTCACTTGGAGAACCTGCATTTTAAGTTGATTTATTAATAGAGAAAGCTCTACTCTACAGAACATCAGCTTTGTCTATCTATAGATCAGATATAGCATAAGCTTCCCCTTATTCCTGACTCCCGGGTCCCAAGCCTGGCTCAGATAGACCTCACCTAGCCAAGAAAGGAGAGTCCTACTTCTGTGACCCAATGAGGACCATTAGTGGGGGGTGGATTTTTTGCTGAGGCACCTGGCTACCAGATCCTCTGTTCTTATATACAGTGATGTTTGCAGGCATGAAGGGAAAGGTTCCCAGAACCTCCATACTTCGCCTAGAAGACTTTCCTCAAGCAAGTCCCTTTGGCCAGAGGAATCTGAAATCAGCAGAAAGGAAGGGTTTGCCTGGGAATAACCCCAGGGGTGAGGCTGTTTTTGCATCACACCATCCACATAATGATGCACAGGTCTCTCAGTGTTTGGAAAACAGGGATGATTTAGGCCTAAGAAATTAGGAAGAAATTAGCAATGCCCCCTCCATAATCTTTCTCCAATAGATCTACAGAAGAAAGAGCTCTGGCTCAGCCTTACCGTCAGAATCCACCTCGGCTCCTTATAGCGGATGTGAATGGTCGATCCATCAGGCCTGACCACAAGAACTGGGTAGACCCTGCCGTAGACCTGTCTCTGTAGGTTAGCAATGGCAGCCCTGTTGGAGTTGTGCTGGCTGGGGGTTGTGTGTAGATTGTAGATTGTGGGGAGCACCCGCTGGATCAGATCTCGCCGTAACAAGCTATTAAAGGAATTCAGACAGGGCAGGGTCGATCATCTTCCCTACATTCCTTCAGGAGAAAGAGCTCATGGGCCTGCCCCCAAGCACCACGTAAGAATAGTCTGTCGTATGCTAGAGAGGGAGAAAACCTGAAGTCCCAAGGAATGGTGCTTCCACCACAAACCTGGTGCTGAGGGGGCTTTTTTCCTTAACCACCTTGACAATCAGATTATCTCCTAATACAAGAGACTTGGTTTCAGCGTGCAACTCAAGTGAATGCTCCTACGGACCAAGGGTTGAGATAGCGGACCCTGGCCTAACAATAAACACAAGCACAATTTGTGGCTTGATCTTCTGAGGTGCCAAATGCCTTCTGCAAGCAGCTGGGGGCCCTCATCTCTGTTCAGAGATCATGCAAGATGAATCCCCAGATCAGCCAACCTGCCAGATGCGAGCGCAAAGCTTACCTCAGGCTCCTGCTTACTGCTGCCATGTTGGTCCTGGCAATGACTGCAGAAGAGAAAGGGCCCAAACGGATGAGGCACATGCATGCAAAACCCAGTCAGATCTCTCTTCGACTCTACTCCATGAAGCTCCTCAGGGCAGCGATGGGATTTCTACGCTGCCTCTTGGGACGTGCTCTCCTTGTTGACAATAACCTGATGACCAAGGAGATGAAAAGGAGATGGCTCCAGCCACATGGCATTTCCTTAAGTCTTCACTCAGATCACTTAAAAAAGGATGAAACCTCCCCCCTGCCCCGTGCATCTCTGAGCTATCTTTTCCTTTAGCCTTCTAGAAAGCACTGCAGACGACAAGTTGGAGAAAGGGATTGCTCGGAATGGCCAGACTCACCTCTCTCCCTGCAGAATAGCAGAAGCAGACATGTGCATCTCAGGGCAGGCCAATTTGTGCTCTGCCTTCCCTGATTTTTATGCTAGTGATGGAGTAATATCAACTAAAACAGAGACCCAGGGTGCAGAGGGCCAGACAGGACAGTGCAAGCAAGCATCCAGCATACTGGCAGTGACACCTGATGTGAGCAGCACCTCTTAGCAGCAACATTTCCCCTGGAAACATACCCTGTATAGTACTGTGTACTCAGAGGACCCTCCCCATAACAGCAACAGCCCCTCACAGCAACGCAGCACCAGGGCACAGGCACGGGCACGTGGCTACTAGCAGGCGCCATCTCTACTGGCCGTTGTGTGGCAACACTTCTCATTGGCAACCAGCAAGTTTTTCCAAGTCTTCATCAGGTTTTATTACTAAGCTTCAGCAGCATAAGCTTCCCAAACAGATCTGGGAGGTGGCTCATACCTAGGGGCCACTGCTTGCCAGAGGACAGCAGTTTTCTGACTGCTGAAACATGAATCACACTGGACTCTACGATGGAGACAAGACTATCTCGTGTGACTGGCAGGAGCAAACTCCTGCAGAAAGAGTACGCTGGGTGCTCTGCTGCCATAATTCAAGCAGCAGCAGTGTCAGAGCCCAGCTTAAGCCCTGCTCTCCTTCCTTGACAGTAGCTCCCAACTCCTCTCCTAGGCCAAGGATGGGTACAAAGCTCTGGATAGCAGGGAGATGCAGGCAGCTGACTGAAGCCTCCTGTCCTCTGTCAGGAGGAAACTGCTCTGGGTCTGAGTCCACGATCGGCATCTCATCACACCTGCGGGGCACGAGATGATCCTGTTGCAGAATAGCACATCTGTAGCACGGGTGCAATTGCAGGGGAAGAATGACAGGACCAGCAGGGAGCACGTGTCAGTGAGACCCCCAAGTGGAGATGGCAGGGTGCAGCATAGCCTGGAGCAATTCATGGGCTGGGATCTACCCTCCCACATCATCCAGGACCTTCTGCTGAGGGCCCGGCTGCACTTCTCCCTGCACCTTTTTATTTATGCACTCCCCATCCATGGCCCCACAACCTCTTGGTCAACCTGGGGGCTGAACCAGATGATCTTGTGAGGTCCCTTCCAGCCCTGTCTATGAAATCTAAGGTCTATGAAACCTCCTCTTGGCCCTAGCCAAGCTGGACACCTACTTGACTAGGGAGGAGGCTGGGGGGGACCCCTGGGGACCGCAGAGCCATTTTCCGGTCCCTTGTCCGCTCGTACCTCCAGGCAGAGTTTCACTGGGCAGTGTCCACTGGCTTCTTGGGACTTGTTGGAGGCCAGCAGGCAGGCCCAGTGTGCTCTGCTCAAGGCACTTGTTTGAAACCTTGGATCTTCACTCCCACCCCAGTTTTCTTCATAAGATGTCCCCAGTAATCCTGTGATGTGCACTTAAGCACCCCCCCATATTAAGAGGGGTTTTATGTTGACTTGGTGGGCACTTCCCCACGTCCCCAATGCACATCAAACGGACCTTGACAACCGGGTCATGTTCATCCCTGGCCAAACCCCTTTAAAGAGCGAGACCACAGATGCACGTCCCGTGTCTGGCACATGGTCATCTTCCAGTTGTTCAAATCTCCACGGCGCCAGCCCCAGGATGCAAGATGCAAACTCCTCCACAGCCGGCAGAGGCCTTGCCCCAAACCTGCCACGTCACAACTGTAGGACAGGCTCAGGGGTGCTCCTGCACACAAGGCCTTAGGACCGCGGTGGCTTTTTGCTGGCCCTGTTCGGGAAGCCCCAAGCCATGGGGTTCCGGCCTGCCCATGCCAAGCCCCCGGGGCATACTGCAGCAGGCGAGGGGAGCCACGGCCGAGACTTCCCGTAGCCCCCAAGTGCCCTAAACTGCCCTGGGGGACCCTGTGTCACAGAGCCAGGGGCAGGCCCAGCTCCAGGAGGGGCCACCCCCTTAGTCCCACCCTCACCACTACCCCCCTCCATCATTACCAATAGTCTAGCCCTAGAAGCTGCCCCCCCCCGCCCTAATGGTACAGCCCCTGAGGCTGCTTCCCTCCCTTCCTCCATAATGGTCTGGCCCTTTAAGCTGCCCCATTCTATAATGGTCTGGTCCAAATTGTTCCTCCCCCCTCCTCCGTAATGGTGGGACCCTTGAAGCTCCCCCCCAGCTCCATAATGGTGTATTCCTACTGCTTCCTGCACCCCCCCCTCCATGATGGTCTGGCCCTCGAAGTTGCCCCTCCCTCCTCCCCTGATGGTTCAGCCCTTGACGCTGCTCCCGTCTAACCCCATAATAGTCCAGCCCTGCTTCCCCTCCTCTATGACAGTATGACCCTTGAAGCTGCACCCCCACACACACTCCAGAATGGTCTCGTCCTAACTGTTCCTGCTCCGCCTCCCAACTCCATAATGGTCTGACCCTTGAAGCTCCATAATGGTACAGTCCGAGCTGCTGCTGCTTCTGCCCCAGCCCCGTCCTCCAGCCCAGCCTGACCCCTGCAGCAGCAGCAGCCGCCCCATCCCACACCCTCACCCCCCTGCTCCGCCCGTAATAGCCCGGCCCGAGTGTCCCGCCCCCCACCTACCACGCGCCCAGTGGTTGGGCCCGGGGAGCGCGAGCCGCACTCGAGGCCGGCTGCACGCTGGGGCCGCGGCGTCATTAATCCGCGCCGGCTGGCACGCGCGGCGTCTGCGGCAGTCGCGGGGTGATGACGTCTACAGGAGGTGCGTGTCGTGGCCGGATGACGCCACGCGGGGCGGGGCTTCCCCGGGGATCCCGGCTCCGAGCCGGTGGCGCCTATGAGCTGGCGGCGGCCGCTGGGCTGCGCCCTGGCCACGGGTGAGTGACGGCGCCGCCCTCCCCAGTGCCCCCAGTTCTCCCTGTGCAGCCCCTCCCAGTTTTGGGGTCTCTAGTCCAGTCTCTCCTAGTGCCCTCACTTCTCCCGGTGCCCCCAGTTCTCCTAGCCCATGCCACCCCGGTGCTCCCACTTCTCCCAGGCCTGCCCCTCCTAATCTTGAGGTCTCTAGTTCAGTCCTTCCCAGTGCCACCAGTCCAGCCCCTCCCAGTGCTCCCAGTCCTGAGGTCTCCCACCCACCCCCTTGGTCTTCCCTGCTCTCTTGTGCAGGTACCACCCCTGGTCTGTCATGAGATCCTTTTATATTGTCCTCACACTGTGTCCCCCCCCATATCTTTCCCTGCCCACACCCGGGGACCCCCGTGGGCGGCTGCGTGCGCGTGTCGGGGATGAGGGCGGGATGGATGGGGCTGCGCCAGGCTCCAGCTGGGGCGTGGCAGCCCACCACTTCCTCCGTGTCAGGGCCTGGCTGCCGCGCCCCGCTCTGGGGGCGCCCGCTGGCTTGCGAAAGGCAGCACCCTACTCCCAGGCTGCGGCACCCCCAGCTCCGGCCATCTCAGGCAGCCCCTGGCAGGAAGCCTGGTTGCTGTTCGCTGCACACAGCGGAAACCCCGCAGCAATTGGAGGCTGCCGCGGTGAGCAAGGGAAGTGGTGAGGAGGTGCCCGCGTGGCCTCAGCTCTGCAAAAAGAGCTTCTTGGGGTCTTTTAATTTCCAAAGATCGGGACTTTGCTTTGCATTTCATCTGGAAGGCAGCAGTTAGTGCGCGTTGTACCTCTCGCCCTGGGGACGAGAGGGGACGTTTCTGGTGGTTTAGGGAGCAAAAGTCTCCAGCTGGAGATGGGTCTTGCTGCAGGGGAGATGCTACTCCATAAAGGTCAGACCTGGTGTGGGTTCTTCTTCACCTTCTTGATTAAAAGTGAAACCACCTGATTTTGTTTAGCTCTGCACAAAGACCGTCTGTCTTGGGTTCCTCGTCATTCAAGCAGTGGGGAACTTATTGGATCCAGCCTGTAGAAAAACACGTGGCTGACCTGGTTTGGTCAGGGATGATCCTGCCTTGAGCCTGGACTATCCAGCCTCCGAGGGTCCCTTCCAGCCCTCCTTTCCTGTTGGATGCCTCTCCCCTCTAGAGCACACCTGAGCAGCCTCCTTCCCTTCATGACATTTGCATTTTTGCTTGTCTGAGGACAGCTGGAGCTGCTTAATTATTTACCAAGCAAGGTATCTGAATGGCAAGCTCTTTCCTAACGTGTGTTTCAAAGATGGGTCCCTTGGCACAATTCAGTGTTTAGAGACCAACATGTTTGGGGCTGCTGGGTTTTTATCCAGCGACAGCAAATGGTGACTGTTTGTGTTGTCTGCGTGCAAACTCTCTGCAGGTGCGTTTGAGTGCATCCCCAAAACATGCAAGCAGCTCAGTGCAGGGACAGAACAGCTCACCCCGCCACCTCCTCCATCTCGGTTCTCCTCAGCCATAGCGAGTGCCCTCTGCGTCATGACCCATTGCCCTCTGGTAACAGCTCTGCAATGAGCCTTCAGAAAACTTTTTCTTTCCTTTCAGTAGTGACTCAGCCCCTCCAGCTGCTGCCTGCCTTGGAGAGCCCATGGAGCCACTCCCTGCTTCTGTTGGTTTAGCAGGGCAGGGAGGGCAGTGGCTGAGTGGTTAGTTTTGCTGTTCTTTGGCAGCACTGAGGCAATCAGTGCTGCTACCCCTGCTCCACATGCATCCACTATGGAAAAGGGCCTGTGGGAATGCACTTGTTACACCCAGGATGACTCCAGAGAAGTACAAGAGAAGCTGAAGCAGGTTCCTCTGAACTCTACACCAGTTTTTTGGGGGTATTATCAATTGGGCAATGTTACCAAGAGCAGCTGCATACAGCAGAGAAGGCACAGACGTGCTCACTCCCTCCTGGTGAGCACTCAAGCCCCGCAGAACCTGTCTACACTCCCACATGTGTGCCTTCGTGTGGAGGAGTTTATACACTTCAGATTCAAATTTCTGTATTCCCACCCACTTCTCTGAGATAAGGGTCTCGTGGCCACTTCAAGTAGGGAGCAGGGAAACCGAGCCATGACCTGTGACCACCTTATTAGCATTGGGTGTGATCATCACTGCATCTCAACTCCCTTCAGACTGCCCTTCCTAATCTGCTTCTCTCATGTACTAATCCCGGTTCAGGATGAACCGCTTCTGGGATCGGAGTATCTGCAAGGAGGAATGTAACAACACACCCAGCACAGGAAAAAGGGGTGAGGGGAGTCCAGGACTCCCCAGCATACTGAGGTTGCCCTGAGACTCTTGCTCATGCTGGAAACCAGGTCTGGAGCAGGATGCTACTTCATTTTGGAAATTGAGTGGAGATGGGTGGCCAGGGTTTATTGACTCAGCACCAGGGCTGAGCTCTCTGCTGTCACAGTGTAGATGGACACACAACATGCTGGGGTTATTAGACCCCTGCAGTCTTTCCTGCCCAATGATCTCACAAGGTCTCTTCCAGCCCTAAACTTCTGTGAATCTGTGACCCTTTGTCTCAGGTGGTCTCTGCAGGGCCCCATCCATTTTGAGTGGAGGGGCTGCTAGCAATGGTAGGTAGAAAGGCAGGCAGGGGACTACACTGGCCTTTGCTTGAGGGTGTGTCAGGTGTTTTTCTGTTGTTTTGAGCTGTATTCATATGTTTTCTCACCGTTCCCCTTGGCTTTTTCTTTCTTTCCCATGTCTGGCTTGGCACTAGGCTGATTGAATGAGGTGGGGGAGCTGAGGGTCAAGGCCAAGGAGGGGATTGCCCGGATGGGGTTGGGATTGCCTATGTACATGAGGAAGGAGGTGTGTTGTTCATCTGTTAAATGCTTGTCCTGAATGGCCACATATAACAACGAAGTATCTGGGTATCCAAACCAGACCTGCAAAAGATATGCATGTTTTCTGTGCCCAAACTTCTTCATTTCCCTTCATCTCTGCTGTTTGTAAGGCAGACAAGACCTGAGAAACTAGAACGGTGCAGCACTGGCGTGGCACTCACAAAATCAGTGAAATGCAGAGTAGTAGACATGTCTCAAAGCATGGCGATGGTGGGGACCCATATGGAAACAGCGTGCTTTCAGCCAGGTGCAGTGGGAACCAGTGCTTGGTTCCTGTGGTCTACGTCTTGGTCAATGATGGGGACTGGTGAGTGGAATGAATCATAGGAACTATCTCCCTGCAGTTAGTTCCCCTTTGGTCGTTCTGGATGACTTTCCCCTCTCTAAAAAGATCTGCTCTAGTGCAAGCAGGAATAAATTCAGAGTAGACTTGCTGCCTGCAGATGACTGATCAGGCTAAATCAGTGGTACCCATCTTTCCCTTCCTGCCCCACCATGGGCTGGATGGGAGGTGCCTGGTCCATCCACAAGCTGGATCCAGCCATGTATTGTGTGTGTGCGGGGCGGGGGTTGGTTATTGTTGTTGTTGTTGTTAATTGCCACTGCTGCCCTGCTGCCATATTTCCTGACCCATGGGAGCCTTATGGGCTGGATGCCACGGCTCCGTGGGCTCGATTTGGTCCACAGGCCAGGGCTTGAGCATCCTGGGCTAGAGGATAATGCTGCACTGGCAGTGAGCGAATCTCCGAGTTTGCTCATTGGGAGGCTGCACCAGCTGAACTCAGATGCTTCCCGAACCAATTTTAGTTCACTCAGCTCAAGTGGGGTCCCACAGGGCTCGGTCCTTGGGCCCACCCTGT